TTTTATAATTATCATTTACAAGATTATAAGTTAGATAGATACTGTCCTAATAAACTTAACGAAATATTCATCTATATATTTAAATAAATAAGTATTAGGGTATTATTGCTAAGATTAAGTTCCTAATTTTACAACTAGATTTAATTCTGATACTTCTCTCTCTCTCTCTCCCCTATTAGTGACCGATAAAATTTAATAAGTTTTGAGTAATAAGCTCTTATTATCATATAGAATACCCAGATAATCACTAAATTTAATTAAATCTGTACACATTTGTTATAAACATAAAACTCTTCTACTACTGTACAAATAACTTAAACATGTTTTAAAACTCAAATTAATTCTATAATTGACATTTTTTACAAAAAATTATTTTAATAAATATAAAACTTAAAATATACATGATTTGTTAAGTTGCGAGATTATGAAGGCAAAGCATTAAGATAAATGATTGCACTTAATATTTAAGTGCTAATTTATATGTGTTTATTGAAATAATAAAGTTGTCTTATCAGGGATGGAATAGATAGGGTAGAAAATCCATTGCCAACTGTTTGCCTGACTCAACCCAACTCATCGCTTGATCAGCATCCACGTAGGCAAACAACATACCAGGGTGAAATTTATTATAGCCCGAGCCTCGGCACGAAAACATGCCATCTAAATTATTAGCATGCACAAAGTACAGTACACCAGACAATTGGCGCAGGTTAGTTAGACCAGGCTCTTTGTTGCACTGATAGAAGTCCGAGTTATTGAAATACCTGATCCCATAATAGACATGACCGGCCAGTGGGCCGGCAGTGATATTTGATTTGTCAGTTTCTATTAGGTATCCTATTTAAAAATGAATTGATCATATTAATTAAATTTTATTTTAATACCACAAAAGTAACTAGCCTATTTTTACCATTGTTTATAGTAGCAGTGGTCACGACATTAATCGTTTGATTGACAATTTGATTATTTTTGTAGTGTATTTGATAGGTTAGTGTTCGGTTTCGGGGAGCGGTCTGTATAATGGTATCGCACGTACGGTTCCCGTATGTCTGGCCACTCCGCACCACATTCAACACCTCAGGCTTGTGCTGTATGTTTGTGCAATTGTCATAGATCTCAATGGTATTCTCAACCAGCTCTATGTAATTTTGTTAGTTTATGCAATAATTTAATAGTTATTTTGTTTAATTTGTAATTTATTTTTATTACAAACCTCTGCCATGAGTTGTGTGTATGAAATCTTGAAACAAGATTATATAAATATTATTTTAATTGCGAGAATAATTATTACTTACAAATTATATATGAGGTGCAAATTAAATAATATAAGTTCATCATTAAATTATTGACTAATTTAACGTAACAAAAATACTTTATAATAATGAAACAATTGTGTAATCAATTGATATTTAACTATATAACTATTTAAGAGTAAAAATATGTTTTTAATAATATTTGTAATTGTATTTTTTCTAATAAAAATTGTCTATTGTTTATGAAAACAATAACAATCACATAAAACCTGCGGCAAGTTAAAAATATAAACCATGTTTATTCTTAAGTATGATGTTTATTTATAAAATATTTTAATTAAATTATTTCAAAACCCATATGTTATTGAAAAATGTAAAACAATCCAACAATTATTTAAATATTTTTCATAATTAAATAAATCCCAACAAATAATAACTATGGAAGTTTATTTGTACTTTATAACATTTTAATAAATTTTTGTTTATTTTAGCTAATTGTTGATACAGATAAACATTTTACCAAAAAATAGGTTTGAACGCGATGTCATGAATTAATTATAATTCGAGAAATATTTAAAGAATCCCATAGACTTAACATTATTTATGTTAAAGTATAGCCTAACAAGACTGGACTGTAAGACTGGACTGTAAGACTGGACTGTAAGACTGGACTGGAATCCAATGTTAAATCCCATAGAGAGCGAGGGAGGATTGGGTGGGCTAACGATTCTATAAACTATTAGTAACTACAGTATTAATACATTATTCATATCTGATTGTAAAAATCTAATTTTAGCAGTCCTTTTCCACTTACAATAACAAATAATATATTAAATTGTTTTTGAAATAACCCTTGTCACATACTTATATAGCCATCATGTTATTTTATTGTAAATTGAATAATAAATCAACAAAAAATTTCCAAAGCTTTTATACGTAAATAAGGCACTTAAAAATCAAAACAAAAATAATTATATTATACTCAATTGTATAATAATGAACAAGTTAAATTATTGTTATTACCCGTATTATTATTGTAATAGTATTGCAAGTCATACGAAATCATATGAAAATAAAATCTTTTTATGCAAGTAATTCATAATGGTTATATCACATTACAATAATTTTATATAATCAGTCACCATTTACCTCAATAGTTTATTATACAAGTATATATTGCGTCTAGTTGATTTTAGTTAGATTTTGAAATAAAACATTAATTATAATATTATATAAAATCTAACCCAAAAACTATACAGAAATGGAGAG